TAAATGCATCCAAAGCTAGAACCCAACATATAGGATGATTAGTCCAAAACAGTGGGGCAGTTTTTGTATCTAATATCTAATGTGACAGTTAGAATTCAATGCAGGTGAATATCAAACGGGTTATTCACTGTTTTGAGATCAGTATCCCTGCTGGAGTATTCCCGGCTCAACTTAGGTAAATGCGGTGTCGATTCAGTCATGGTGGTTTATAATTAAACTGTTGATATTTCATCTATTTATTGTTTTATTTATTTTATTTTTTTATTTATATATAGGGAAGGTGTTTCTGGTATTTAGTGTGTTTTTCCGTACATAATAGTTAATAGTTTTTAGTTATATAGGATCTCAGGGAGTTTATCAGTAGTTTATCTGTGTTTATTGGTGTTAAGTATCACCCCAGTAAAAGGGATACAAATATATATGAAAATTCAGCATCAAGTTATGTTAAAAGTTGAGACATGTAACATTCCATAAAATGCTACTTTAAATAGGCGTTATCCCTTTCAGCAAGAAAAGAAATTTACATGTAATTAACTTGATCTAATACTAATATTTAAAATCAAAGCATATTCAGTGAATTATTGAAAAAACAAATTTTGCACAGTCTAAATTTGATGTACCTTTACATGTACCTTTTTGAATTTTGAAATTAAGTCAAATCAAAAGGATGCAAATAGCCAAGGCAACCTTCGGTTATTGTGATTTCTTGACTATCGTTTGAACTAAATGAATCCGAATTTCATTAAGTCAGAACCATAGTCCGAGAATACTGATCCATTCTATTGTGGCATGGTTGGAGGACTTCCAGAATGGCGGGTGTCGATGAAATGAAAGTGAAGAGTATTTAGAAAGAATCTATTTTTGTTTAGCATATGATTTTATGAAAGCTTAAACAAATTTTAAAAGGCTGCTACATCTATGAACAGATATTTTTTGTCTCGTATGTTATGTCTGTATCTGTGTAAGTCTAAAAATTATGCATTATTTCGATATTTGTGCTATGCTAAAAGTAAAGTCAAATTACAAGGAATTTTGTCCATTAGGGCAGCCATCTGCATTCAGTTTCTAGTTCCGAACACTAGTCATGAAAAAATTATAACCAAAGATCGTCAAAAGTGAAATTGTCTATTTAAAGCTCATTTTTCTATCTTTAGTATTCTAGAATATTTCTTTTACGTACATGCTTTTTAAAAAGTTATGGTCATATACTTTTAGGACTTTGATTTTTGTCAATTTAAGCTGCATTTTGTCTCACCAGCACTTACAATCTAATCAGTGGTGCAGTTTCATTGCATTTCAATATATTATTACCATATTTATTACACACTCAATATATAAAAAAGTTCTGAAATCACCATATATCTTAACATAACAGCTGATGTTATTTCTTTTACTCACTAAGGGAATAAATCTCTCTTAATTCATTCAAACTGAATCTATTTCAGTGATGTGTGCCATTTCTGTGCAGAATGTTAAATCTAAATTGTTTATAGTTTGATGTGAAATGAATGTATGAATATAATGAAAATGTAAAATGAAAGTTAATGAATTCTTGTAACCTGATGTTTTTTTGTGACTAAAGATATTATTATATTCCTGTTAGTGAATGAATAAACTGAGAAATAATATTGGATGTTTTTCATACGAATCCTCCAATGTTTTGTGAAACTTTTACCATAATCTGTCTGGCATTTTCAATAGTGTATTACTTCAATGTTTGCTACTTACATTAATCAATGAAATTCTAAATAGATATGTGTTGCAGATGAATAAGTCTGGTATTCGATTTAAAGGTGAATTTTAAAAAGAATGGAGTCGGTTTAAAGGGAAAAAATGCATCAGTTTCTTTGTTTATTTCCCTAACATCAGAATATTTTAATTTCCAAAGCACAATAAAATTAAAAGATACATTATGGAAGATTAGATAAAGAGCTGGCAGTTCTCACTTTAATACTTAAAAACTAGATAATGTAAAGGGTATTGGCTAAAAATTTCAGTCAAATTGATCCACTGAGAACTGGGCCCTGTTTCACGAAATTTGAACTAAAGATAAAATCCAAATTTTAGTAGATACTTCAATTTCTATTGGCTAATCACTAAAATCAATCTAATATTATCCAATCAAATTACTAAAATTTGGATTTTATCTTAGATAAAATTTCGTGAAAGAGGCCCCTGAGATTTTACTAATTTTTAGTGATTGAATTTTGGGTCTAGCCTCAATCATCATTACTAAAGTCGGTACGATAAAAAACAGTCTTGATTATCCAATTTTTGATTTAATTATCAATGAACGTTAAGCAGCAGATATAATTCTAATCCAGAAAATATCGCGGGCTAGCGATGACATCGAGAGTTAATTATGGTCTGGATAAGTTAATAAATGTCTTAATTAATAATTTAGATAACAGTTCAGGCCTAAAGATAGACGTGCAATTGGCAGCTTTAGCTCTTGCATAATGTATGTTTATTAAATGAAGTAAATAACTTCTGTAGATGCTAAGAAAAATGCATTTTTATACTAAGGTGGCCCACCAATATGCGATTTTCGAAACGTTGCTTCTCCCTTGTCTGACTATTTATCAATCCAATAAGAGTGATTAAAAACTTAATTTACATGATTACCTAGTGGTTTCTCCACTGTCGGACATTTTAATCTCCTTGATATCAGCTAACAGAATGTAGAAACTAGTCATACATGTAGATGTCAGATATAACATTCCAAATCTGCTGTTTCTACTTCAATAACCATTTTCCTTCATAAGAATCGCTACGGTCCAACCGGGCAACCCATTTGCTATAACACAATATTCTAAGCATTTTCCATTCACAGACAACCAAATATTCAACTTATTTTCTGTAATGAAACTACGTGTTTTCAGGCTCCATATAGAAATTCCCATCTACAGTGGCACTTTCGCACGATTTTACTGTCGCACAGAAATCATTGTTTACCATATAACTTAGGCACTGCTTACTACAGAATTAGTAAAATTTGGGAGTGAATTATGTGTAAATGGTCATGTAGGCCAATAAGAGACATGATAATACCATTTTATAAAGAAGAAAACGATGTTTAGATATCATAAACTCTTCTTTTCACAAATGTTTTGATTTCATTTTCTATTGTACAAATGAAGGCAGGTAATTACTGAGGAATATTACTGACATAAAGTTCAAGCTGGTACAGGAATTAAATATGAAAAATAGCGAGGACCACCAAAATTTGTGTACTAATCATAAACATTATTCAGAACACGATATGCTACATGAAATAAGCAATATTTCTAGATGTAATCCATTAAAGGGAATGGAAGATTATTGAACTTATTTCCTGAAGAAGACAACACTTCTGGTGACCTAATTTAAAATTCATCTTTAGGTGGTCTTAGCACCGAACTTTTACTTTGGAACGTCGAAAAAGATCTTGCATAACAGAACCAAAACACTTCGAAACCTGTTTCAAAAATATGTAAAAACTGTCAAATCGAAATCTCTCCAACTTAGTTTCACAATGATTGCTATACATAATGAAACTAGTTGTCCGAAAAATCAATTGAATAGTTTCATGCCTGGACTCCAGCCTGCAGGCCGCGCCACGACATCAGGCAAACTTTTCCCCGGTAACATTTACCAATACTGCATTTATATCCCATGAGCTATTATGTACAATGCCTCCGTCGGTTATATCTGTGTCTATGTTCCGACGAATTCATAAAAACTCATAAAAAAGTTGTCACTTGTCAGATACGTGTTTTCTGGTCAGAGATTAACGTCAGTTTTCCCAGATTGGGATTCAGGGAAATCCATGCAGTTTGCAGGCTGGAGTCCAACCATGAAACTATTCAATTGTTTTTCGGACAACTAGTTTCATTATGTATAACAATCGTTGTTAAACTAAATCGGAGAGATTTGGTTTTGTGCCCATTTGATGCCCCCCCCCCCACCAAGCCCAGCACTGAGCCTCCAGACTATTAATGCTTCATACGTCATAATACATTACCATCATACACCGATGTATCACAACTTAGGAAAAGGCCCGTGTTGACTCACGAAAGCTCAGAGGAACCAGGCACTTGGAAGACTCGACGCTGGCCACACTGCCCAAGCCATTGCCAATCACTTCCAGGTTAATGTTTGGACCATCTACAGGCTTCAGCAACGCTTTCGTGTCACCAACACCACAGATGATCGCCCCCGAACTGGCAGACCAAGGGTTACTACAAGGCGACAAGACTGTCATGTTGTGCGACAGCACGTACAGAATCCCTTCACACAGGCATCATCCCAAACTTTGGCTGCCTGTCTACAGCTAGCTCCGCCTGAGAACAGGCCCTAAGCTAATTAACCGACATTTTAATTCCTACATCGACGATTTTAGTCGAAAAAACTGAGTAAGCTTTTACTTTTAGTAATTTTTAGATGTATTTATTTCTCTTCTATTGTCATATTGAATGAATTTAAATATGTTTATTTGGCCGCTGTGTCAAACTAATCAAAGCCGAATCACAAAATAGTCCTCTAATTATTCAATATAATCGCTCAAGATTAACATACATGTATTCAACTTAAATAAAGTACATTTTTCTTCAACAGGCTAGAATCGGGACAAAATCAGCACACAAGCGATTCACCATGTTCCAACGCAAAACACTGTGATCTATCGCGAAACTCTGTGATCCACCGCGATTTGGCACGTTAGCGATTCGCCAAGGACACCCCACGAAAGTCAGTGTTTTTCCACTGTGTTCGACGATTCTAGTCCCAAACTCTAGTCGTGTACTTTACTTTCATATTTCTTCTGTGTGAAGAAAAATTTCAATTAAACAGTCTCAAAGGCATTTCAGTATGAATGCTAAGTAATAATTAAATCTTCGTAAACGGGTAGAAACTAGATTATTTTATGATACAAAAAAGTGGAGTGACAGATAAGATTGTTGACTAATAACATCCTTTGATCTATATAAAAATTTCAGTACATTAAAACGTGTAGTACTTACTTTTGTCTAGTTTCTTCTTTGGCTAGTCCACTGTGGCTCATAGAACTAAATTTCGAGACAAAGAAATCATAACGTCGATGATAAGATGGTGTGTCTTCTTCAATGTTAGCAAATTTGACAAACTGAAATAAACATACTGAACTTCAGTAATCACATTTTGTTATTTGCTACACTATAGACCATACTGAAAACTTACATTTTATAATACAAAACTTCAAATCCTACACAGTGTTCTTTAACAGTTGATGGAATTGGAGAACCTAGAATATTAGTGGCCACCACAGCAGATACACCCACTTATAGGTTTGGAAAATAGTAGTACAAATTGGGTATTAGCTCACAGAGAAAACAACTACGGTACACAAAGTTCCATTAAAATCTATAATGAAAAAATGATGTCTTTTGGCCGTTACAAATGACAGACAAGTTACTGTAACTTATTGTAAGTATGCTGGAGCCTGGGGGCATTTGGAACATTTTATTCTTCCAATAACTTCTGGCCAATTTTGGCCTCAAAAATTGCAGGGTGTAACATTGTGCACAAGAATAGGCATGTTTATTCTTTCTGGAGTCACGGTGACTCAGTGAGTAAGACATTGGCTGGCTAACCTGGAGGTCCAGTGTTCAAGCTCTGCATTGGCCGAGACAGTTCATCTGGATTTTCTAGTGTGGTCCCTCCCGGTCAGTGGTGCAGGACCGAGGGCCTGGCAAGGGACAACGTATAGTCATTTGGATAGTATGAAAACCGAGGTCCTGTGTACATAAGATCCCTTGGCAGTTGAAATTCGATATAGTGCCACTGTCTGGGTAAAATTTCTCTCATAGCACACTGTATGGCGTTTACCCATGTTCATTAGCACAGTCGGAGCAGAACAGTAGGACATTAAACCCCATTTCATTTTTATTCTTTCTGGAACAATCAACAAAACTTGCCATCGGTGTCAACTTTGAATTTTTAGATTGTCTTGATTACTTAAACCATTATATTTCTAGAATTGGTACACACCTACTTTAGCAAATGTGAACTTTTTACATTTCCCTTCGTTGCCTATTTGTTTGACCTCACAGCTACCAATGTGAATCATAAAAATCTATAAGAAGAAAAATATCTTGTTTTTACTCACTGAAGCAGTTGCTGATATTTGTAATTCTGGTTCATCACATTCTAAAAGTTTCTGTACCATTTTTAAGAAACTTTCCACGAAAAGATTTAAAGACTGTGCATGACATGAGACTAGAAGTTGATCCAAGGCATCCATGGCAATAAACACAAATCTACAACATATTCGAAAGGCCAAAGTGATAAATATTCATAATGTTAGTAACTAAAAGCAGAACAATGACACAAGAATAAAACTAAATAAAAACAAGCATAAGACTATTAAGAGCCAGTCAGTATACAGTATAACAAATCAAGCCCAGGCCTACCCACATCTTGTTTTGTGCTTAGAAGCAAAGGTGATTTCCAATATTGGCATGCAGTAACATTCATTTGGTATTTTGCCATCTCCAATAGGATCCCATTCATACAATGCCATATTTTGTTTTAATTGGAATATAATATGTTGATTGAGTTAAAGATGGGTTCCAGCGTACAAACTGAGTGATTTAATGGTATATGGACTAAAAACATATTCAAATTAATTAATTTGTCATAATTTTGCTTCAAATCCTTCTCAAACATTGTAATTGCGAAGGAATGTCCTGCTATAAAAATTTATAAACCAGGTCACGTTCTATTAATTTCATCTTTAATTTTTTTGTAATTATCTGTCGATATTTGACCGATAATACATTTTAATTCACAAAGGTCAAAGCCGGGATTTTATCTAAACTATGTTTTTTGTTGTAATTGTCTAAATTACCATCTAAAGAACAATTTTTAACCCTTTATTGTTAAAAATTAAAGATGGGTTCCCGCGTACAAACTGGGTGGTTTAATGGTATACATGGACTAAAAACATATTCAAACTAATTAATTTGCCATAACTTTGCTTCAAATCCTTCACAAACATTGTAATTGTGAAGGAATGTCCTGCTATAAAAATTCAATCAAACCAGGTCATGTTAACATCACGTGGCTTACCTCTCTTGGAAGTCAGAGGAGAATTCATTGCATACATAAGACGATGTTGTCTTTAATCGCTTACTATTTATTACAAATATCGAATCCTAATTAAATTCTTGGATTATCCACTACCCACATCTTTTTCCGTCATTTTTATCTCAGAAAGTGTTGTACGTCTAACTCTTCATAAAGTTTATCAACCTGTACATCAAGCGCTCAATGTTCGTGTGTGACCTTTGACATCACGTGTGCAGAAATTCCTAATCGTCGGGCTGTTGATTAGGGGAACCCTTACATTTTTGTCCTGTATATGTAGGGTTGTGACAATCAGACACATTTTGATTCAGTAAGAATTTGACCGGTGTTTTCTGGGGCGAAAAACATTGTTCTTCGATAATTCGGTCGGGGCTGAAAAGGAAAACGTTTTTTTCGGTCGGGGACCGGGCCATTTAATATTTTAATGTAATATGTCGATTTATAGATTTTTTGGGATGCTGAATCCGAAAATGTGGTTTTCTGTTTGTTCTGACATAATTCCGCCATCTTGATTTTCAAAATGGCGGACAAAATGGACGCTAAAATGCATTTTTTCAAGGTTGTTTGGCTTTCTCTAGAATATTAGTCGCCTGTCCAACCTCGTGGGTTTTCTCCGGGTCCTCCGGTTTCCTCCCACTGCTAAAGACCCCTACGCGCAAGCGAATTATTGAAATAAAGTTAAACCATACTTTAGTCCCGAAATGACCTAGTTTGTGTCGAGTGGACGTTAAACCCCATTTCTCTCTCTCTCTCTCTCTAGAATATTATCTCGTAGTATGTCGATCTATAGGCTTTGGGGGTCGATGAATCCGAAATTGTGATTTTCTGTTCGATCCGACAAAGTTCCGCCATCTTGATTTTCAAAATGGCTGACAAAATGGCCGCCGCACTGAACTGCCGATGTTGTGATTGGCGTTTGTTCGGATTGTATCATGTAATATGTCGAGGTATAGGTTTTGTGGGTCAATGAATCTGAAAATTTGGTTTTCTGGTCGATCCGATCGAATTTTAGCCATATAGAATTTCAAAATGGCGCCAAAATGGCCGCCAAAATGAATCTGTTAATGTCATTTCGCTTTTTTCGAAATAGTTACGTGTAATATGTCGATGAATTTGGGTGGCTCTGAATTGGGGTAAACCGAGAACATTCAAAGAAAATCACATCTCAAGGCAGTACGAAAGAATAATAATATAACACTCAGTTGATTTATTATCACATGTGTATTTACATTGCATCAGGATACTGATCAAACATCGATACATTAATTTCAATCAATGGCAAAGGCATTCTTCAGGAGCGTATCTATGTCACGACATACACAGTTTTCTGGCTTCATTACATTCTTGATTGACTGAATTAGTTCGTTCTTACAGAATGTTTCGTATTTAAATCTCCCATTGTCCATTTTTATTCTGCGTTTCTGTCTGATATCATTAGCAATTGTAGCACGAATGTAGGCGATCTCGGAGAGGAGTTCTTTGTCTGTTAGCTGTTTGAGGATGTTCATATTCTCCGGCGTTACAGGTCCACCGTGTTTCTTACAAGTACTTAGGAGCTGTAAGGTCTTCAGAACTTTCTTTTTTTTTCCAACTCCTCTTTCCGCTTGATTGCCAAAGTTTTCATCAGTTTTACATTTTCAAGAAAGTCCCTCATCGACCCCCAAAGCCTATAGATCGACATACTACGAGATAATATTCTAGAGAAAGCCGAACAACATTGAAAAAATGCATTTTAGTGGCCATTTTGTCGGCCATTTTGAAAATCAAGATGGCGGAATTATGTCAGATCAAACAAAAAAACACATTTTTGGATTCAGCATCCCAGAAAACCTATAAATGGACATATTACACGACAACATCATAGAATAAATTCAAAAAACTTGGAGAAATTGTATTTTGACGGCCATTTTGTCCGCCATTTTGGAAATGGCCCGGTCCCTGACCGAAAAAGCAGCTTTTTGTCCCAGCCCCGACCGGATTCTCAAAGTACACTGTATTTCGCCTCTGAAAACACTGGTCACTTAAATTCGACATTATTTTCCCAACCCTAGTATATGCTCCATGAGTGTTTTTCGGGGAATCCAGTATTTTTCTATTAAGATTGGATATCTGTACTTTCCATATATACCAAAATTACCATACTTTTATTGGAAAAAGCACCTGATAAATACTTTTCTGGGAACCCATCTTTAAATAATAAAAATGTCTTCGCTTGGAATGTATCTTTATAAATGACAGTTCATTTTTAAATATTAGTATAACATACTCTATTCTGTGTCCTTTAACTTCCCTATTTAGCCGTTTCTCTAGGTACTGCCCAATTCGATCCAATTTTTCAGGAGATGACAGAGCATAAAATGTGAGCTTTTCCATGTTAATTCGAACCAGTCCATCCTAAAACATAAAACATTACTACATTCTTATATAATTGAAATTTTAATACAAATAAAAGAAATTCAACATACATGTAAAGTCGTCAAGCAACGAAACATATGCTAACTAGTAATTAAGTTGCCTGAGCAGTTAATAAAGATTGTCTCAAAGTCTAAGGAATTAAATTGTAGTTTTGACTCTGCAATTTTTAAAAAGAAATTCGAGAAATTACAAACACAGATACGCAACAGAAATGTACAAACGTCATCTTTAGACGTCTCTGGGTAGGTGAATCATACAGGTCTTTGAATTTGTAAATTTCCATTGATCCCTAAAAGATTATGCACTTAAAATTTTATGTTTTTCAAATTTGTTCTCAGATGCATACTTTTGAGAAAGGCTTCAACAGGTCCAGATCGTCCATGTGGATTAGGAAAAATTTGTTTGGGAAAAGAATCTGATTGCTTTATGTGGAAAAGCATAGTTCTCAAAGTAAGTACCATATATGTGGATTAAAATCTGACCAACCCCAAAAGATACGCATATCCAATAATCCCAAACAAAGCAAACAAGTATTGTTCATAGTGTTTAGCATTTTGATTTTATACAGAAACCATCACAACCACCGATATGTATTTGAAGACAAATAATTAAATCTTTGTCTCTCTTTTATTACTACTCTTAAAATAAATACTTATCAACACTAATCCAAGACAGACTAATACTAATAATAGACAAAAGATATCCCCTTATTGATACCTAGTTGATTGATAATTGACTCAACAATTGCAATCGAACAGAGCAAATGCACAACCTGAAAAATGAACAAAGTTTTGTGACAAAAAATAAAGAATCGTCGCACTGATAAAATAGTTATAACAAAAAAAATTGCTAGATTTAAAACTTTATTGCCAAAAATTTTATCATCACAATTATTAGCGGAAATGGCGAACTACAGATGCAAATCATTTACATACCAATAAAGACTTAAATGTTGAATATATTTATTTTTAGATTTATTTGTTTCCAGTTCAGTAATGATATTTCAACTTGTAAGCTTACCTGAGGGTCTTCAGGAAAAATGTTATCAACCAATACTTTGTATCTTGGCCGTAAAGCAGAACAACAAACACAACAGCCTAAAATAACGATGAAAAAATTATACAGTATCATTTAGACGCTGTACCCTAATTAATTAATTGAATTCACCTCTTTTTAAGCTGCTGATACATTATGAATGCTAACATATTCCATTAAAATAATGTTTCAGTTGAATGACCTTGCATAGCATCCAATTAATAACATTATATACTCTAGTAACCAACAATTATTTGATAATCATTCTCAAGGTTCGTCTCTATCCTTGTGCACAAATTTTATATTTTTTAAAATAAAACAGAAACAGTAAAAAAATTCTGGATGACCATCTTATAAAGCCAAACAGAATTTTTTACATAATGATCATGGCATGACATTCTAACGGTTTCTGAAATGTTCAATACAGTTACACTGGTATCATTTTTCAGTCTTTTTTATTCCAAAATTAATTTCTGACAAATAACATATAGATCTACAGTGATCACGGAAAACTGAAGGTGGAGGAGATTTTTCAGTATTCAGTATTGGACATTAATTAAAGTATGACAAATACGCGATTCGCATCGGGCATCAGTAAGCAAAATTGACAATATTTTTCATCAAAACAACGATTGATTATTGTTATTTATAATATTTCTGCCACATCCAACTACAATTAAGCATTATAATCCTACCTGAAATGGGTATAAATCATTGTATTCAAAATCGAGGCGTTAAGCCATTACTAAGAACGCCATTTTTAAACGGGAGATGTATGGCGGTGTATGTCGGATAAAAACAACGCTTCATTACATGTAATTTAAACGCAAATATTTGGAGTTTGGCGATAGTTGTGCCACTAGCCGTGACTAGGCATTACATTGGCGTAAGTTTAATTGGTAATAATAGTATAAAATTATCTTATTTTTATGATGTTACGTGCATTAATAAAGAAACTGAGTTTGCCACTAAAGACATCCAATCGGAGCTAAAAACAAACACATTAGTATATATCTCAACGTTCTCGTAGCTAGAGTGAGTATGCAGGCGGAGCAACCTCGGCACAAAAATTAAAATAGAAAAAAAAAGTAGGAAAATGTATTGCAGCACATCCGTTGCACTTACCCGTCATTGCACATAAATTAACTGGTTGTCTTTCTCCAAGGGTAATGTAATTTTACGTTAGAAAATCAAAGTCAGGGTTCGTTTTATAAAAATAATTCAGACATTGCTCATTTTCACAACCATCTTGAATCCTGCGCCCTCTGCAATATCAGAGTTATCTCCCTTTGACAAGAACAAGTTTTGAGAAGTAAAGTTATGAAGAAGTTCGGTCAAGTTGTCGAAAAAAAATAATTAAAAAGATACCCGGAGGCGTACTGTAGGCATATTTGGTTATATGATAAATTGTAATAAGTATATTATTAAAAAGATAGAATCAAAATGATTTTTTTTTATTTGCAGAATTTCTGAATAAAAAGTTTGAGGCGTGTTGAACTTGAATTGAAGTTCGGCAAATTTGTATTATTACGGACGGACTGGCATGTAAAAAAGCGCCTAGTCATTTGGATGGGACAAAAAACAGTTGTCCAACCGTGTATGCATAAATAGGCCTTGACAGTTAAAATAAGATAATCACTAGAGTGGGGCACAGTAGGCTAAGCCAGGCTTTTGGAAAATTCAATTGTGACATCATTGGGGAATTCCCCTTTGAAATTTATAGCAACAATTTTTCCTCCTATGGCAATATTCAATAAATTCTCCAAAGCTGATTAATATTTAATCAGTTATTTACTGTATTTCTGTAAATTTTTGGTGGATTCTTTAAACTGCTTGGCTATTCCAGATTTTGATAGAGCCAACAAACTTGAAATTCCTGGTGGTAAAGGAGATGGTAATAGACTCTCATCAGAAATATTGTTTCATAATTTGTGACATGTCTCCCGGCCATTTCCTTTTTTGTATCATGGTTGATGAAGGGGCACAGTGGGTCACGTTTCGGGGGCACACTTAGCACAAGCCCTTAAATTCTAGCTTTAACCAAAAAACATCTGTATAGTCCATTTTACATGAATATAGAAACTGGATATTTGATTATTTTCTAGGCAGTATTGTTCCAAGGTTACAAATCTTTACTGACTTATACAAGTTATAGTAATTGTTTGCATAAAGTTTTTTTGGGTTTTTTTCTCCACTTCAAGAATTTTGTATTCAATGTAAACTGCTTTGTTCAAGCCCTTAAGACAAATTCATATTATAGACTACAAGTTTAGTTTTTACAGTTATGAGTTTCAATCTGTACACTACATATTTTTTTTTTTAATCTGTTTTGCAATGATCTACACAAAAATGTTTTCACTTTATTAACTTCTGAAAGATGCATTATATAAGATGCATTATGTCTATTGCAGATCTTTATTTTGGCTTCAAATTTTATTTAAACTCTCTAGACCATTCAATGACTGAAATTTAAATGGATTTGAACAGAACATCCACGAGATTTAAAACTTTAACTATAAAATGGATAATCGAGACATAGCCTCAGTTGTCGAGTACCATTGCTATGATAATAAATGATCTGTGCTACATCTTCAAACAGTCATAACTTCACCCAGAATAAATTAATTTGAATTATATTTTCAATACCTAACAATTATTTCATGCAAATTTAAACATATATATATATATATATATCTTAAAGAGCATAAACCACAGTTTTTCATTTTTTTTTTTAATGTCCAGTAAACATGTCCATTTACATACGGTATGCAAATAGGTCTAAGATAAGCCCTGAATGCTTTTGAGAATATTGTATCTGGAGTTTCACAATAATTTTTTTTTTTTTTTAAAGTGCCCTTCAACCAGTATACTATTAAACTATAACACATACTTATGGAAGAACAATTACTAATTTATTTGGATGACGTTTGGAAGAGTATTCTCTTAACGTCTTCAAGCAAGTACTGTAACAAATGTATAGGGATAGACAAGCAATAACATTTACTAAATGGCTCTAAAGAATTAGTATGTACTTACTATATGGTTTGAATTAAAAAGACAATGCCTATTGAATTTCCCAACCTCGTGGGTTTTCTCCACGTCCTCCGGTTTCCTCCCACTGCTAAAGAGACCTACGTGCAAGCGAATTATTGAAATAAAATTAAACCATATGTTAGTCCCGAAATGACCTAGTGTGTGTCGAGTGGATGTTCAACCCCATCTCTCTCTCTCTCTCTCTCTCTCTCTCTCTCTATCGAATTTCAGTAATTGCTGATGATTTTTCTAAACTTATTGCCCACGTTTTAACATTGTGTGCTCTACCACCTATTCCTGGTGAGATGCAAATGCCAGTGAAGGATAAACAATTAATTTCCTTGCTAATTTCTTTTAGTTTGCGAATGCTTTTTTTAAAATACAACCTTATTTCGGAATGCTGCTAGTTTATGTATATTCATTGTTTGACAACAGTAAGCTTTTCTCTTTTTAAAATTACATAAATTTTCAACAAGTTTTATCTGATAAAAAAGAAACATAAATTTTAATTTATATAATATAAGCTTAAGCTTACACATTATAGTACAGTTTTATCATTAAAATATGAATTATACCTAATACTCAATATCATCCACAGTATTCAACATTGCAAACATTACTTATTGGTCAATTTGAATCAACATTAATGTTTTTGTCTTACCATGAAAAGATGGGCTTCTGATATCCAATATTTAAGACGCAATGGAAATTTTAAAATTGCCACACAAATCACGTGCCTGAATGCTTTAGAGCACCATTTTTATTGAAGCGACTCGATGAACGGGGTAAACATATCCCACGGGAGAATATTACAAGTAAAGACTGCAATAACCAGGTGCCAAAGATAGCCATTCAATTTGAACTGTTCGTGTATTTTTCCGAACATAACTGATTAGAAATTACAGTAAAAATAGAAACGATTGAATGTAAAGCAGTTTATATATACATTCATATTACATTATTATATGCGTTGCGACCCATTTGTGTGACCCATTTGTGTCCATTTCTTGGTGCCAAAGAATAGTGATTTAGTTTTTATATTTGCAGTTTTCAAGGACATTTAAATGTCCAATGTGATCTTTAAGTAGCAGCTCAGCTACAAATATAAAGATGATAGTTTATTTGTAAATTAGATTCATATGGTGTCAAATATTATATCTCTTTCAGAAAAGAAGATTTATTTATATTGGCCTGTATTGATTATTATCTTGTCTAAGTATGAGGATCTGACATAGTGTAGGGTCATAGCCACACAGTGTGATATTTATTAATCAGTAGGCAGTCAACCAGGTAAGCTTAATGAATAGAAGATATATATATTTGTATTATTTTATTTTATACCATATTTCAGTTTAGCTTAAAATTAAGGGTAAGTATTTAGAAAAAAATTCATTTATGAATTAGTTATTAACCGAGAAAAAAAATGCTTAAAATTAAAATGTCCCGGTTCATTTTAAAAGTTCTGTATTTCTGAATAGATAATTTAAGTTTTTTATTGACATGCATAATAGTTCATGATAACAGAACTGTTTTGTATATATTTTTTGTAACATAATTTCTTTTCTGCAAATTATTAAGTACTGTGTTTATATATACAAAAAGAAAAAAAGTTTATTTAGGTATTAGCTATGTTGAAATATTGATTTGAACATATTTATTTAAAATCATAATTGATCTTTGATATATTGAATTATTTTATGTACAAAATTAAATTTAAAAGTTTAGACATACACGTGTGAACAGTTTTCATCCGATTCTGACGAAACTTGGCATGGCTTAGTATTGATGTGATCTTGAAAAAAGTTTGAATTTATACAAGATTCATTATTTATTTGTTGAATTATTTTCCTTGACATAGCTGAAATACATCAAAAACAGCTTATCAATGTGAAAAACTTACATTTTCTTTTGTTATTTTAATGAAACTCAGTATGCTACTTTCTCTCTGATATCTGGGGATAAATTTGAATAAGATTTGTCAATTATTTATTGAATTATTGCCCTTGACTTGGTGAAATTGTGTCAGAAATAGCATGGACCTTATAATACTATAATAGCTTTTAAATTTACTAAAAAAGTAGCTTTCACCATGAAATGCATGTTACACCAAAACTACCATAGTCTTTGGTTGACTGGTGTTCTGTCCGAAACCTTATTTGGGTCCATCCGATGGCGACTTCTCCACTATTGGCTTACAAGGAAAATATACTTCTGTATGATGATACATTTATAGTTAAAAGAATAAATTTCAAGTATAGTAGCCTAGAAGCTAGTAGATACCCATATATTTGTTATTCAAGTCTGTCAGTGTATTTAGTAGTGTGATAAGCTAATGTTTAGTTAAACAAAGAGATTATATTTATTCAGTGTGCTATGTAAAACAAAGATATATTATATTATTAAAAAGCATACCCGTATAAGATGGTTGGTTTGACAATGTGTTATTTTGTTCAATTTACAATGGTTGTTAGGGTCTGAATGGGTAAGACCTTTTAAGACACTGAAATATTAAACCAAATTTTAAGGTCATAACACAAGTACATTGACAGTCAATGTGATTGGTTAAAAGAACCATTTTAATCTTATGTTATATTTTCTATATTTTTATTCCTACCTAAAACAGTGTGCACATGGGCATTAGTTAATTTAATGTTAAACTTGTCTTTTCATCCATCTTTCCATATTTCCATAAATCATTTTGTTTCCTCCTAATGTTTGCTTTCAAATATTGTTATGTTGTCATGAAATTGGTTTCCACTCGGTGACATTTGACATTTAAAGTTCTTTGTTTTTTATACACCCACATTGAAATGTGGTTGTATATTGTCGTCACCACCGTCCGTCTGTCTGTCGGTCGGTCCGGCTAAAGTTAATATCCGATTAACTTTAAATTTATACATAGTGTTTAAGATCATAAGAAGGAGAATCCTATTGATTTTCAACAATTTCCAAATAATTACTGCCCCAGTTATGGCCCTTGATCACTCTAACCAAATCTTGTGACTGCTCTGGAGGTTAAAGTTAATATCCGATTGATTTTAAATGTCATGAAACAAAAATGCCTATCGATTTTCAACAATTTCAAATAATTACTGCCAAAGTTATGGCCCTTGATCTCTTTGAAATATCTTGTGGACACTCTAGACGCTAAAGTTAATATCCGAATGACTTTAAATTTATACACAGTGTTTAAGGTTGTGAGATGAAGAAGCCTGTTGATTTTCAACAA